AGGGAACAACAACAGAAAAAGAAAAAAAGGCAGATGACGACGGCCGGGATCGAATATCAAAAGCCTTCTTGTTCTCTTCTCTTTTGTCTCTCTCCCAAAGACCGGGCTAACAAGACAGCGGACTTAATTTCCCCCTCACACAAAATAGACGCGGCGAACGATCACGAAAGACAAAATGGTAATAGAATACACAGCAGGTAAAAAAGTTAGCCGGCGGGGTTATGGAATCTGATAATTCAGACGCAGGAAACGCGCGGCTGGGCGGCAGAAAGGGACGTGCGAGGGCTGGCAAAGGGTCGCAAGGAGGCCAGCGGAAGAGGTGACATAAAGGAAATTGATGATGGAATACCCAGATAGCCAGCAGGTTCGGAGGGAAAGTAGGAGAGAAGCGCGAAGGACAGTGAGAGGGGAAGGGTGGGAAGGTGAGAGTGGGAAAGATGTGAGGTAAAATTATTTACTAAAAAGAACGGGGATGTTATTAAAAGGAAAAAAAATGTCGAATAAGGGCCTTCTTCTCTTGGTCCAAGCCTGGTGGGTTGGAAAATTCGAGCAAAGAGTGGGCAAAAATAATATTTAATGGGGGACAGCAGAAGGAAAGGGAAAAAAATAAAAAAGATTTTTATTTTATTTTATTTTTCTTTTGGCTTCTCTTCGAACTTTCCTTTTAGGTCAAGGCAGAGACTTTCCCAGGGGAAAAATCCAGCCCATCATCCCCATCCACTCCCTCCATCCACTCACGCGAGACGGTGCAATGAGGGTGAGAGGGGAAAATGGACCGAACGGAACGAGCTTCGGTTTCGCCGCCGCTGGTCAAAACTCTTTTTGACTTTTACACTACTTTTTTGACGCCTCGTTTGGTCTTTACTTTTTTCTGCTTTTAAACAACTGATGTTCTCTCGCGCCCGTCCGGTTTCTGTTTCTTCTAAGTAGTTCTAGTAGGAGTTCTACGCATTCTTCCCTGCCCCTGCTTTAGTTTCTGTCCATCCAACATCACAAGAGCCACTCTCCCCTCATTGCCCAGTTACAACTTTCCCCCCCGCCTCCCTCCCCTCCCCTCTCAGCTTTCTCACATCCACTGGCACTCTCTTTGCTTTTCTGTCCACTCAGGTCCTCGATGCAATTCTTCCCTCCTTGCTAGGAGCGGTTTTCCTCGGCCGCGGCACCAACTTGAGCGAGATCCACTGCAAGGTCAGACCCAGCCGAAGATCCGCCCAGGGTGAGTCGTCAAACTCGTCACTGCCTCCGTGGTCCAAGTGACTACTTATGCCCTATTCGAACGAGCTTACTCCTCTGGTGGTACTGGTGGTGGTCCGTCCACCAGGCGATGCAGGCTCCGAAACGGAGTGGAGAGCAGGAGAACGTGTCGTTGTCCTTTCTTATTCCTTTCCGCTTCTCTCGGAAGTGGCTACTGGGGGTGTGGATGCGAGCAACCTTGAAAGCAATGCCATTGTTGCATCGGTTCCAGCTAGCTCAATCTGGACCAGAACTGTGTAGTCTCTATTGCAGGCGATAAAGTAGATGCCTGTCTTTTCTCCTATCGACAAGTCATGAGCAGACTTCCCTGCCCCTTTCTGGTGGGCATGTTGTTAATATCTTCATCATGCCGCGGAGATGTTCCGGCAGGTCAAGACAAAGTTTTCCGTGGTTCAGCTGGGGCGGATTCCTTGTCCTGCTGTCGTACGAACTCGGGGGTCTTGCGTGGACACACCAGGTTCCCCTTCTACCCTCTTTTGACTCCTCTTTCTATTGAAGGCGGTGGGTTTATTTAGGATTGATTGATTAATTGAACCTCGGTCTAAGTACCGTGGCAGGAAGTAATCCGACAGTCAAGAGAATTCTGGTCTAACTCCACGACAGAGGGTCGTACGAAATGCCCGGGACCCTTGAAGGAGGAAGAAACAGCGAGGAAAATCACGCAGATCCAGCCAGACCAGACCCAAACGGGACAAGTTGAATTACGGCAAAGTTTCGTCTCTGACCCCGTGACCAGTGGCCATTTGGGGGCATAATACGGCATGATGACCATACGGTACCACGAATCCATCTCGACTAAATTGCCTTTCTCATCCTCCCAGAAATCTCTCAGGGTCTTGGATACTACATAAGATAGTCTGATCTGTTCTGGTCTGTTCGGAATCCCGAGAATAACCATTTGGATGACAGTCCTTGGCAAGAGACTTCCTTCTGTATGCTTTGTGTATACAATGAGAGCACCCGATCCGACAGCCGAACTTCCGGTTTCCATTCCCCCTCAACCAGGATGTACCTGCAGGACAGCCAGACTAGACAGAAGACACTATGACTTACTCGGTTTAATACTACTACGTACTACTACTTGTGGGATATACACAGTAGTAAGTACCCTAGTAGGAGACTGCCGATGAAGGAGGTCGCCGCCAGCCAACCACCTCCAGGGCCTCGCCTATATCCCGTCATCGTACGTCGCTCCGAAACTCCGCCTCAAGGAAGAAAAAGGCAAAGTGACTGTGACTTGACATCACGAGGGTCCGCCACGGGATCATCTGAGGATGATGGGCTGATCGGAAGGAAATCCAGTGCCCGTACCTGTTGCTGTTGCTGTTGCTGGGTGGACTTGCGGCGACTACCGATGAGCAGCAGCAACTATTGACCAGATCCTTCTTGGCAGACTAGCATTTGTTATCGCTGCTGCTGTTGCTGTGTTTGGAAGATGAATATTAGAATGGAGAGAGCGTAGCACTTCTGCACTCCGTAAATTAGAACGTATCTCCATCGGAGTAAATCTGAATTCAGACCGAGTCAGTTGTTCGAACATGTTTAACAACTAGTAGTTAAATCTCCATCAGATCTGCCGGTGACAGCGCCTGGACCCTGATGTCATTTCCAGGTCTTTCCTAACTATACTCAGTCACTCCCTACTGCTCGACTCTATACTCTTTCTTTCACTCTACCCCTATACAAAATCACATCCATCCATTCCAATTCCAAATGTCAATACAATTATTCCAAAGAATGAATGCCATCCTTCCATCCCCCATCCACCATCCCCTGAGCGCAACTCCGAGAAAACAAAAACAATTAATTAACCGCGGCGATCGGCTTTCCATCGGCTCTTCCCCCACCACCAAAAAGATGGACTGACTGATTATTCATTCCCTTCGTTTCTTTTTTCACATGAAGACCGAAAAAAAAAAAAAAAAAAAAAAAAAAAAAAAAAAAAAAAAAAACTACATCCTCAGCTCTCCATCATCATCCACCCCATCTGATCTAATCCCGCCTGTCAGACTTTCTCTCCCCTGCATCTTTGAAAAGGAACAACACAAGAAGGCTCACCTGCGCGCCGATGCAATCCGCCTCCGCCCGCCGCAATCCAGCAACTGCAACTTGAACCCGCCGCATCATTTCCCCTCTTCCCCCCCCAATCTCCTCCCCCCTCGGCTATTGCGATCATCAGTCATGGCCTCCTCATCGGCTCCCTCCGCCAACATTGGCGCAACCCCCCAGTCTGAGAATCCTGCTGCTCCCACACAGACTCCCCAAAAGGTTTCTGCGGATGACCAGAAGAAGTCCGCCACGACAACTGCCCCGAATAATGCCCCCTCAGCAGAGAACCCCGCGCAACAACAGCGCACGAACAACAACGATGACGATGACGATGACGACGAATCGGAATTTGATGAATTAGATGGTACTTCTATACACTCTCTTTCTTCAATTCCCATATATATTGTTATCTAACAAACAATGTGATATAACAGAGGTCCTTGACGACTTCAAACCCAAACCATCCCCCGCCCCCGCTAAACCCGATGCCGCACAACCATCTGGCCCCGATGACTTTGACGAGGAGGCCTTCCTCCGCCAACTCGAACAAGATATGGCGAATATGATGGGCGGTGGTGGCGGCGCCAGCAACGACGCTGCTGCGGCTGCGGCTGCGGCTGGCGCCACCGATACCAACGACGGCGGCCTCGACAAAGACGCCGAGGCATTCGCCAAGATCCTCGAGGAAAGCGGAGTCTCACCGTCCGACTTTCTGAAACAGCTCGTCGGAGACGTCATGATGAAAGGCGACGACGATAACAGCACTACGGCCGCCACCGCGGGCTCTTCGGCAGCACCAGCACCAGCAGCATCATCAACGCCATCAACAAGCGGCACCGCAGCACCCGAAACCTTCAATGACACCATCCAGCGCACGATCGAACGGATGAAAGAATCCGGCGACAAAGCCACAGCGGCAGCCTCGGAGGACGACATGTCGGATGATCTGGTAGCGCAGCTTATCAAGGCGATCGAGGCGGGGGCATCGTCAGGCGAAGGTGGCGACGAGGGGGATCTGACAAAGATGTTCATGGGCATGATGGAGCAATTGTCGAATAAGGAGATCTTGTACGAGCCGATTAAGGAGCTTGATACGAAGTTCGGGCCATGGATCAAGGAGAATAAGGGCAAGGGGAAGGTATCAGATGAGGATATGGCGAGGTATGAGAGGCAGGCTGGAGTGGTCAGGCAGATTGTGAGTAAGTTTGAGGAGAAGGGGTATTCGGATGAGGATCCGAAGTGTAGGGAGTATGTGTGGGAGAAGATGCAGGAGGTAAGCTCCCACCCTATTGCTATTCTTTGTCGTGCTGTTCAGTACTAACTGAGGGTCTAGATGCAAGCTGCGGGTAACCCGCCTGATGAGCTGATTTCTGCTCCTTGGATGGAGGATCTTAAGGGTCCGGGTGGTGGTGCTGGCGCGGGTGGTATGCCTGACTGTCCGCAGCAATGATGAGTAGTAGTAGTACTAGTAGTAGTAGAATATTAATATATATACACGCTTGGGCTGAGGAATCTCAATGTCTACTATCGTACAGAACCTGTTGGAAAACAGCCTCACTACCTATAATGGTACTTTCAAATCCCGTAATCTCCCAACCCTAGGGCCAAGACGCATAGAGCAGAACCAACTATATAACTGCTGACTACAAAACACTGTATTACTATCAACAGATGCACCAGACCCCATGACAGCATCATCAATGCAACAAATCTTCCACACCTAGAACATCAACATCAACATTAAGACTTCGAGGATTACTATACTGTCTATTTGGATCACAATAATCATCAACCAACGGAAGAGGAGGATCCCAACCGTGGCCATTATGCATGACTCTAAGAGTCTCAGCAAGTTGTCCATCCAGCTCCCGTTTTCTATAAACCCTAGGGTTTCTTTTTGATAAACGTAGGATATAAACGGGTACCAATGTCTTGCATTCATGAGCAGTCTGATAGTCATACTCGGTATTATTGAGGTCGACCACAAAGTAGGAGTGCTTGCCAGGGTAGATGTTGACTGCAATGAAACAAGTCTTGATATTTGCATTATATTCACGGACGCAGTTCTGGATTTCTGTCACGAAGGGGCGTATAGATTCCAAAGGATCTTTAGGATCGAGTATGCTATTTGGGGTATCGCCGAGGATTCGCATTGGGGTTGTGTCGTCTGAAGACGCTTGGAGGAAGTCGAAGAAGACTCTGTGGATTTGGTGGAGGATGCGGTCTCGGAATCCATCTGCTGGGGTTGAGGCGTCCATGATGAGAGGGAGGGTTCTGCGGTGGAAAGGGATGGTGCTATGATGATGATGGTGAATGTTTGCTGGCTTATTTGATACTTATGAAGTTCTTGAATTCAATTCAAGGGATGTCCATTAATCAGAATCAGAGGAGAAGGAGAGATGATTCTCCGTGTGTCTTCCTTTGTAGGAAGAGTTGAAGCAAGCAAGCAATCAACCAACCAACAAACAACCCTTTGCAAGACGTAAGTTGAGGTGAAGGGTTTGTGAGTAATGATTGGCTCGAAGGTATTGGAGGATTATAGTATCTGATTCTAATACCTTAAGGTGAGTCCGACTTGTCCTGATTACCTGATTAGGATGAAGGATTCTTCTCTAATTCAAATAAGCAAGCCAAACTTATTATAGATGTGGTTGAGAAGGCGTGGACGATAGGTGATGATCATTCATGTTCTTAAGTAGTATTGGGCCGGGGGAGGTTGGGGTTGTGGGGGATAAGGGATGTCAGAGACGGAACGGAACGAATACTAAACATAGTACTATGGGGCGGGAACCTGGGCTGGAAGCCCTTACGATACATGACCATGTCCTGATCCAATTAGGCTTTGGAGTTTTCTAATGGGCGAATGGCCGTCTCGAAATGAGGGTAGTTTGTCAGAGTATTATGCATATAGTATTTACCTATGCTTCTAGTAAGCAGTGGCACATCTACGTGCTAAGCAAAACACTTGATATCAGAATATATGGACAGACTAGTACTATTACTATCTTACTGGTGATGCAAATATCCTGAGAATTGACTATTGGAAGATCTACTAATTACTACTATCTAGATAGCCAGGTGGGTAGGTTGATAGTAATACCCCATATCATTATAGTCCCAATCCATACACGCCGTTCAACCCCAGACCATATCATATCATACCAGACCATGCTTTTGCCCTGTCCGTAACAGCAAACGTGATACTAGTAGTGACAAGTCCTATCGACCCGCGACAAGACACTCTCATATCCATATCCAATACATAGACATACAGATGAAGGCAACAATCACGACATATCCATATCCTGACTATGCGCAAATCCCCCACTTGACCCAGGGATATCAGGACCACCATCATGCCCCGCTAGATCCATGAACAGGTCGTCGTATTCTTCTTCGTCACTAAATGAGATGTTCATCCCACCATTACCTCTACCAGCAGGAGCACCTGAATCAAACACTCCGTGGTGATGATGCTGCTGTGGCTGTGGCTGCTGGCTCAAACACTCCAATCGTTCCATTTCGGCCGCTTGTTCTTGCAAGTACTCGTCTAGAGCATATGCGTCTACATCGTCTAAGTACGTATTCGTTAGCACTCTCATCATAAGCCATCTCAAGGCAGGTAAATAGTTAGACATACCATATCCATTGGCATACCCCTCTTCCTCTTCTTCCTCAACAATACCCATCATCTCCTCCGCCCTCCGCCTCATCACCTCTCCCCACCTCTTCTCCTCCGCCACATGCTCCATAAGCACCAACTGCTCGCCGCGATCCCCAAACCGCCCATCATCCCGATCCCGCTTCACGCGATTTAAAAACACATTCCGGCGTGCCGAGGGAGACGCGCTTGATTTTAAATGCTTGGTCATGGGGCTGGAGATGGTGTTGGCGTAGCGGTGGGCATAGCTGGGGGAAGATTGGATGTTTCTTTGTCTTCTTGCGAATTGGTGGTGGGATTGTTGTTGTTGCTGTGGTGGCGTCGGGGATGGTGGTGCTGATGCTGATATGGAGGGGAGTTTCGTGGGTGTTGGAAGTGTGAAGGGGCTGGAGGGGATGTTGAATTGGGTGTTGTTGGAGGTGGCGGCGAAGATGTTGGGTGCTGCTGAGGGGGTGTTTGTGAGGCGGCGTGGTGAGAGGGGGGATGGTCGGGTAGGTGTGTATTGTTGGTGCTGCTGTTGAGGTGGTGGTGGTGATGACCCTGGTTGTTGCTGCATTGGGAGGGGAGCGAACATCATTGTGAATGTCTGTAGTTGATTGATTGAAGTAATGCGATTCAGCCGGATGGGTGGATAGAGGGTATGTCAATTCGTAACGTGTAGAGGTAGTGTGACTATCGTTGTGACTGTAGATTGAACTCCTTATAATCGTCAACCATGCGACACAGACAGAAACGAATTAGTTGTTCCGCAATCGCAATCACAACCCAATGATCTATCCAGTTGACGATAGTAGAGATGGTTGTCCGGAGAGACCAGCAATGGCCGCGGCGGAACAACGTGAAAGGCGGCAGGGATTCGCGAGCGCGTCCGACACGACGCCACGTGCTCACTAGTCTTCTTCGGGATATATAACATTCCTCAGGCTGTCAGGCACCACGGCACCTTTGACCCCTCCGCTGTGCGACGCATCATATGTAGACGGACAATATGATTATGCGGTCTTTTGCATCGTACATTATCATGATAGATATATTCCGAAGGTCTTATAGCTGATCGTGCTGTTGTGCCACTAGTGTCGTAGTAGATGGAGGAATGGGTGTTGGGTTGTCTGATCGCTCATACTCCTTAATTTAAGTAGTTATGCAATGGAGATAGGTATGTCGGTGAATGGCGTTGCTAAGTGTGAATTTGAGATATTTGGATCGGATTTAGAATATGCAAGTTGACGATAAACTCACATTGCAGGATCGCATTTTCCTGGCGCACTGTTCACTACCGGCATATAGTGTGGACCAAGACATGTCAATGATTGTGCTATCTCCTACCGAGGTCGTCTGTATTAAACATGGTGAGAAGGCTTGAATCATCAGACGCTACGATGTATGACCTGCATAGTAAATAGGTAACTACACATATGCAGCATATCTAATCTAGCAAAACTGCCATGACATCATTGACAGTACAATTACTGCAGAAATCCTTCTCAAGTCATTTTTTTGATTAAATACATACAATCGAAAGCTTTTGAAGGCTGAGATCGGGGATCTGCAATCCACAGCAGAGACAGAGACGGGACAGTTTGCCGCTCACCGCTCCGCCAGAAAAGGAATCAAATGCTCGAGGGGGGAATCAAACTAAGTCGACCAACCATAAATGCTAGGACAAAATCGCTGTGCTAAGTAAAAGGAGCGTGATATCGGTAAAGACCCGACGTATGGTCTATCAGAGCGAGAAAAGAGCGGTAGCTTCTTGAATGCAAAGCAAACAACCCAAGATAGCAGTGAAGAAACAACAAATCAGAGGATTTCCTCTCCACAAGCGCCAACAATAACTGCGTCATAATCGTACAAATTTACAGTCTCAAGAACGGTATCAGACCAGACCATATGCCTTCCCTGTTCGTTATCGCAGGATAAACATAGGAAAATGGTGGTGTGTTCGTATCATAGACAGGATGCCGGGTCGGCTTAGAAATTTGATGCAGCGTTGACAGGTCCAGGGTTGTGATACTGGTCAAGCGTGGTCTTGAAGGGCGTGCCACCAGCACCCGGGCTGGGCGCCTTCTCGCGAGCACCTGCACCGACTGCTGTGCCGCTCATGAGATCAGCAGCTTCGTCGTTGTCTTGCGCAGCCTTGCGAGCGTGGATCCTCCAGCCAACAACGGCAAGGGCACCGACGATGATTGCACCACCCACACCGACGACGACACCGATGATGATCTTCTTCTGAGAGGACGAGAGACCAGAGCTGCTGTTAGAGTTATCAGACGAAGTGCCGCTCAGACCAGGACTGCCCGTAGAGTCAGCACTGGCGGGAGTCGAAGTAGTGGTGAGAGTAGTTTGGACGGGGGTTCCACTGATGGTCTCGATAGTCGTGACCGTCTGCACAACTGGGGTTGCGGTGGTCTGCTGGGTAGTGCTTTCGACGGTGGTCTTGCCGTTCTTGTCCGTTGTAGTGACTGCAGTTGTCTGCGCATTGTTGTTGTTGTTGGATGATGTTGTCTGTTGCGGCTGGGTGGTTTGTTGGGGTTGCTTGTTGGTCGTGGAAGTGGTCTCTTCCGAAGTAGACGACGTAGTTGTAGGTTCACTGGTGGTCGAAGAGCTCTCCGAAGTCGAGGTAGAGGACTCAGACGTCGAGGATGATTCACTAGATGTGGTAGAAGGGGCCTCTGTGGTAGCGGCGGCAGCGGCAGAGGTGACGGCGTTGCCTACACTCGTGACTGCAGCGCTCTGGCCAGCGACGACAGCCACGAGGGACAGGGAGTAGAGGAGGAACGAAAGACGAGCGGCTCGCATGATGGGCACGTCGGATAAGATCGATCAGTCGGACTCGGGGTATTCTTTCGAGGCTTCCAGAGCCAACACGGATGAGGCAGGAGGGCAGTGGAGAGAACCGACACCGGGGAGGCGAGATTACAATTCCAACGCGACACGGGGGTGCCCAGATGGTGAGAAACGATCGTTTGGAGGGTTGAGAATCGGGGGGGGACAGCAGGAGGACAAAAAGAGGCTGTCGGAAGATATGATTCACAAGGAGGGGTTAACGAGTGACTGCAGATATAGAGTTGGGTGAGGTGGTGTGTGTGTGTGGTAAGAAGACAGGAAAGAGCGTAAGGAGGCGGGATGGAGATGAAAAGGGACTGGAGATGAAAGAGAGACGGAGAGAGGGAGACGAAGGGAACGGGATGGTGGAAGGGCACTGGCCGGCTCAATTGGGGGGAGCCACCAACGGGACTTTTGGCTGCGCAACACCAATCCCAGCGTCGTGCCCAGGAGTCGGCGCTCTCTAGCGTCGGCGCTAAAGAACATGCCAGCCAGTCAGCGGCTGCCAGTTGAGACAGTTCTGCACAGGGGCGCCCCTCGTTTTGTGTTTTTTGTGTTTTTTTAGTGTTTTGTTCTTGCATTTTTGGGGCGCCTGACTTTCCGCCCAGTATTTGGTACTGAGTATTATGGATACTATGGGTATTCTTCTTTTTCTGCCCGTTGGCTGTCACGGCCCTTGTCTCGGACTACTATGCCCAATACGGTGCTTTCTGGGTCGTCCCGATCCCACTCTGACCTCCTAGTGAGGTACCTGAGCAGTAGTGCTCCGGGTTGGTCGGCTAGAGTGAGGAGCAAGCAAGTCCATAGTATGGTAGATCACAAAGCGATCTTACAAAATTAATGAGTTCCATAATCCATTAAAGTAATTCTGGTACACACGTTGCTATTTTAAGGCATGTACCATGGGTCTTTAGGTACCGGTTAATGACCGTACCATAGAAAACAATTTTGTTCCTTGGGAGGAATTACCTAAGATTCGGCACCAACCAACAAACAACAACACCGAATCAACAATAATAATCCACAGTTTTACTCTGATGACTGGATATGTGTATATTCCATTACCTTTTTATGCTTCTTGACATTGGGTGGTCCCTTTCATTGTATCCGCGTGGCTCCGGTTCGATAGTAAAATAAGGAAGAAGGAAAGAAATTTCTGTAGTTTCCGAGCACCCACATCCTCGGTGTTTTCCTGGGAATACGCACATACGTACATTCTCTCTCAC